AACATCTTGGGCATCTAAGAATAGTTCTCGAAATTTTGGAGGCCAACTCATTCCACATCAAACCATCTAAATGTTCATTCGGGCAGGAGATGGTTGAATATCTTGGTCATATCATATTTCATGATGGTGTGAAGGTCGATCCGCGAAAGATTGAGGCTATGGTCGATTGGCCTAAACCAACAAGTCTCACGCAGTTGAGAGGATTTCTGGGGCTCACAGGCTACTACCGAAAGTTCGTAAAGGATTATGGGACCATCGCCAAGCCACTGACAGAAATGACTAAGAAGGGTGGGTTCACATGGACCGAAGCTAGCAAAGAGGCGTTTGGAAAATTAAAGGAAGCTATGACGACGACGCCAGTACTCGCCATGCCCTGATTTGATGTCTTGTTCGAGGTACACACCGATGCGAGTGACATTGGAATTGAAGCTGTGCTAGTGCAAGAGGGCCGACCCCTAGCCTATCTCAGCAAGGCACTGGGCACTACTCGGTTGGGTCTGTCAGTGTACGTGAAAGAGATGCTAGCGGTTGTCGAGGCTGTACGGTGCTGGAGGCCTTATCTATTAGGTCGACGTTTTCAGATTGTTACCGACCAGCAACCACTCAAGCACCTGTTGGAGCAAAGGATTGTTACCCCGGAGCAACAGAAGTTCGTGTCTAAACTTATGGGGTTTGACTTCGAGATAATCTATCGACCAGGTCGACAGAACGCAGTAGCCGACGCACTATCCCGACGAACGGACGTGGCCGAGTTGAGTGCTATCACTGGGCCTACTTGGGCCATTTGGGAAGAGATCAGGAAGGCGCAAGTAGAGGATAACCATTGCCAGGAGCTGCGCCAATCAATAGAAGATGGTAGGACGACTGTTATCGATTACGAGTTGCATAACGGACTACTTCTACACCGAGGTCGAGTCTATGTCCCCAACAGTGGGCAGTTGCGCGAGCAGATATTGCAGCACTTCCATGACTCTAAGGTTGGAGGTCACTCGGGTATCTATCGCACGTGGATGAGAATAGCCAACACTTTCTTCTGGCCGGGACAGCAAGGTACCGTCCGAGACTACATCGCACGATGTGACGATTGTCAGCGTACTAAGTCTGACTCGCGACGGCCAGGTGGGCTATTGCAACCACTACCAGTACCCGAGGCAATTTGGGAAGACATCACCATGGATTTCATCGAGGGGCTACCAAATTCTAATGGATTTGACGGTGTTATGGTTGTGGTGGATCGACTCACGAAGTACGCTCACTTCATACCCATTACCCATTCTTACACCGCAAAGTCGATTGCCAGGTTATTCGTGGAATACGTGATGAAACTGCATGGAACACCTCGATCCATCGTCTCTGACCGAGACCGGATTTTTATGAGCAGCTTTTGGTCTGAATTTTTTAAGCTTCAGGGGACCAAGTTATCTATGAGCTCAGCATACCACCCACAGACGGATGGACAAACCGAGGTAACTAATCGAACACTCGAGCAGTACTTAAGGTGCTATGTCCATCAATTTTCGAAGAGGTGGGAAAACTTTTTACCATGGGCTGAGTATTGGTACAACACCACTTACCACGAGTCGAC